TTGATGAAAATGCTAACTACGCCCCCACACGTCATTCTCCATTCTCGCTTCCGCGAAAGATGTACCATCTTCCGCAAAACTTCCACACTCCATGTGTACCATCATCATGCACGCATTATTCTAACCTACAGTATGCGACAAATGTCCCACTTTTATCGTCGGCGCTTGTCCCATTTTCATGCACGGGTGTAGAGGATCTTGAGCTTTTCAAAATAGAGAAATTGCTGCTGCGAAAGCGTATCGAAGAGTAATGTAGCATGGCCTCGCAAATATATATTGCGCATGTTCGGGCCGACGTACCCCCCTGGTTCACTTGATTGAAAAATATTTGCACGCTGGGCGCGACGCTGCTCTGTCGCAGCTTGCGGAAATTCGTTTGCTCCAGGCCCGACTCAAGGCGGCCGAGCACGCGGCCGAGATCAGTCGACTAGAGCGCGCAGTGGCCGGCGGTGTTGATGGCCTCTCTGCCAACGGCAATGACGACCACGCCGCCTCCGCGGGGGAGCCGTCGGCTGGAGACGCCCAGGGTGCAAGCGGTGAGAGACTAGGTCTTCAAATAGATGGGCCGCCATCCCCGGTTCCCTAGAACACTGCGCTACGCTAATCATTACATGGTGGTTCGTTTGTTCGCCTTGTGATATGAGCAGTATCCAGATCCACCGCGTTTGTTTGTTTTCTTAGTCATTGGGAAACCTCGCTTTGGGCACCGGCGTCGAAGCGGGCCCCGGCCCTGCATGTGCTCCCGCCATGTTTGGTCCACCGATTGTAACAGCCGTCCCTTTTGATGGGTTTCGTTTGTTTGGTTGCATGGGAATGTTAGGGCCGGTAGGTGTCGAACCTTTGCCTTTATATGTTTTCGTGCGGTCAGGCGTTGACTTTGCGTCAGAAGAACAGCTATAGTCATGACACTGGACACCTTAAATCACTTGACCAGACCACATTTCCCACTGCTGGCGATTGCCCTTCTTGTCGGCTTTGAGACCTTCATAATAGTATTAATATTCATAACAATAGACTTAAGCGCCAATCCTTCCCTCTATATTGTCCTCCAACTTGCATTGATTCTCCAACTTGCAGGGGCAGACGCCAATATGGGGGAGGAGTGCCGCGGCGAGGGCGGCGGCGACGACGACAACGACGACGACGACCCCCCACTGCGCAAGTTTGCCTCCAGTGTGTCCGCGTTGAGGAAAGACGGCGGCAGTAGGATGACCTACGGCAAGGTGTCGATCGACAGCATGCGGTGCTGGAAGGAGTGCTACGACGATCTTCAAGGAACCCGCACTGCTGGTCGTGCCCAGCTCACCGCGATTATGGACAGCTCTACGTCGAGGAAGAAGGGGGCAGATGGTCAGAAGGTCACGACGAAGGTTACTGCCCCGTTGGTTCCCGGCTGCACCATGTCGACCGCCGGAAGGTGAGCAACGGGTTGGGCGAATATGTTGTTGGGAAGTAACCTTGTGGTAGGTGTATCCCTGGATGTGGCAAGCACTGTGTAGAGACAGTGTGCAAAGGCTCACAGAGTGACTGTTAAGTACACTTGTTGAAAGACCAGATTAATGGTCGAAAGTGGCGCTTAGTTGGCCAAAAGGTAAGGAAAGAGGAAAGAGAGAGGAGTGATCGAGTGGGGGCGAGCACCACGGGGGGCGAGCGTCCAAGCTATCACGGAAAGATGCACACACACGGGACATTGCAATATCCCGGTCACGCTAGCAGGCGGTTAATCCGACCTCTAGGAACAACGCAAGAATATTCTAACGGACAATGGTCTCTCCCAAATGGTCCGATAATTCTCCTGAGGTGAATACCCACGTGCTGTGTTTACAGTAGTACAAATACCTATGACTGACATTGAATTACCAACATCATTTGTAACGTACAGACAACTGCTTTGTTTCAGAGCCCCCAGTCTACTACCCTTCTCCATCAAACATTAATGAAGCCTTTGGCAATATTCCCCCCCCCCTCGGCCTAACGACTACGGCATGCACGAC